ATGATCCGTAATTTAGGAGCGCTGTACAACAGTTCCCCTCCACTAGAAAATACACATTTTGGAAACATATTTGCTGTGTTAGCAGAATGCCACAAGCGTTTGCTGGGTAGTTAGTCATTGCTAACGACTACACCCTGCCCTAATATTTAATTTACAAAGCGCAGAAGGGATAAATTGCCAGTTAGATTAATTCAGCATGATCAGTGCAGAGTAATTTAAAGAAGAAAGGGGGGAAAAAAAATTCCTGGCCGTTTGAAAAGTGAATTTGTAATGAGCCCTGTATCACCCAGTTCAAAGCTATTTGTTTCAGTTTTACAAAAGGAATTCACGTGAATGAAACGGTTTAGAAAACGTCCAAGCTGAGTTCATGAATATCCAGACTGTTTCATGGCCCCACAACAGCTGGCTGTCCGGACAGAGGTTTGCTCAGAGCCCATCGCCGGAGGACAGCAGGGCAACAGCCCAGGCACCTCAGCTGCCAAAGGTCCCCACCACCCCGTAGGTCAACACCTTTCCCTCCTACGCCACGATGCTTCACGCTGCTAAAAGACCGTTTTGCTCTTTCCTGGGGGGAGGTTAGACCCGACCATTTCCTAAACACCCTTAGAAACCTGCCCGCAACCCAAACACACCAGGAGGAGGGAAGGCCACATCCACGCTGGGAAGGGCTAAGGAGAAGACGCTCGGACAAGCCTCTCCCTATCACAGCACGCAACAGGCTGCGCGCCCCTGCCGGTGACGCGCGAGCAAGTCACCATGAACCCTGAAATCCCGGACCCTGAGCACGGATCTCAGGGTCAGAAGGGCTCAGCAGGCTACGTGCGTGGGTAAAGGCAGCACGAGCTTGGCGCTAGACATCTCAGCGTCAGGCAGACCGGCACGGAGCAGGCAGGCAGCTTTAATGCTCCCTAAAGGGTGATGAGAACTAAGTAAAGCTGCTATGATCTATCGAGGAAGACGGATGCATTGGCAAGTGCAGAACTATTAATAAAGGGGGAGGGAGATGTCCTCTGCCAGGCTTGCAGAACGCCTCAGCATCTGTTGAAGCCGAACAAGAAAGGGGCAATTCATGCCCAGCACAATTCGGCTTTGTCCTGCCACGATTCGGAGAGGTCCCTGCCGGAGGTCGGGGCCTACCGTGCTGGGCACCGCACGCTGCCTGGCCCTCGCCCGCCTCTGATGCTGGCCACAAGGATGACGGGAGCAAAGTGGGCTCCCATGGAGCCACGTTCGGATCATCCTCCTTCCCCGGAGGGCGTTCCTCGATGGCTGCGTTGCTTAGTTCCCATGCTTTGGGCCTGACAAACAAACTGCAGACCCTTCACCTTCCCCTAAGCTCACGTTTCATCCCGCTCCCATTTCTTTCCAAAGCCCTGACCTTGATCCGTGCCTGGCTGTTGAGGGTGGGGAGGGTGAACACACAGCTTTTGGGGGCTACGACGAGTTCACCTGCCGTTTCCCCGCTGTTTGGCAGAGCTAATCCATCCGAGGCAGGTGCTGGGACAGAGAGCAGACTCCACTGGTCTCGTTATAGCTGACGAATTGCGTCGCTACCAAGATCACAACCTGCATGTAGCCACAAAATCCATACTCTGCTTGACACAGCCTGTCACATCCAGGGCTGATATCATCCCTGCCTGGGCTCTGAATAAGGCAGGAGCAACGTACGTCCTTCCCCTGCTTTGAAGACCTTTAGATAAGCTCCCAGGTGGGGAGAGGAAGCGATGTGGCCAAACGCAGCAACCCAGAGCGCAGGGCGCATGCTCCTTGGGTGAGTCACCTACGTTTCTGCAAACCGATGGCCAGAAAAAGGCACTGCCCGGGGGCCTTGCTTTTCATCCCAACACAAACGTCTAAAACAGGGCATGCTAATCGCAACCTGCAAGTGACTGCTTTTCTCCAGGGTGACTCATGGAGGAACAGATACCTAATCCTGGCACGTCCTGAGCGCTTTACAAGGAGCAGCAGTCAAAATGCCAGGGCTGGAGCCAGGGATAAGTGGAGGCGAAAGGCATGTTGGGCCTGTTACCACTTTCCCAGGCTCCCTCCAGGACGTCAGCCCCGCGGGAAACGCCGGTCATTTACCACGCCAGCAACGCCGCATTAGGCATTTGGCAACATTGCAGACCCTGTGGATAGGAAACATTGATTCACATGTAGGTTTCAGCCATTGCCTCTCATCCCAACATCCTTCACCAGAAATAGCTCCTTCTTCGCTCCTGGTATTTACAGACAGTTGTTGCCCCCCTTGGCCGTATTTGGAAGACGGCCCTCTGCTCCTGCCCATGCAGCAGGCGCTCCCTGCCCCTAGTCCTCCTTAGGCTCGTTCTTCCCAAGTACCGGCCTACAAGGGCACGGTCTTGCTCAGCAGCCCCAGCTCCAGGACCTGAATAACCCCCTCAAGGGCTCCGGCCATAGATCCACTGAACCG